GGCCCAGGCGGAGCACCCAGTGCAGGAAGGCAGAGCGGCATCATCCGCGGGGAGCTGGGGGTCCCCAGGGCTTGTAAGGGGCAGAGGGGAGCTGGGCTGGACCGTGCACCCCCATGGCGTGTGGACAGGAGCTGCTCTGCCTGCCTGGCTGCCTGCGTGCAGGAGGGGAAACGGTCACAGGAGGCTGGGGTCGGGGTCTGGGGCGGGTCAGGTCTCACCCTGTCACTGATCGAAGCCTCTCCCCGCAGCGCAGCAGTATCACCCCCGGGCAGGGACACCTGGCCCTGAGCCATGGCGCTGCTCACCCACCTCCTCGCCTGTGCCTTCGGCACGGGCTCCTGGATGGCCATCAACGGGCTGTGGGTCGAGCTGCCACTACTGGTGACGGTGCTGCCAGAGCAGTGGGACCTACCCTCCTACATCACCATCATCATCCAGATGGCCAATGTGGGGCCGCTCTTCGTCACCCTCATGCACCGCTTTTGGCCTGGCTTGCTGAAGGAGGTGCCCATGATCTATGTGGTGGTGTCTGTGGGCATTGTGGCCTGCTTGCTCCTGGCCTTCCTCTGGAACTACACGTCCCTCATTGCTGGGAGGCCCCACAGCACTGCCTTCCTGACCCTCACCTTCTTCCTGGCCCTGGTGGACTGCACCTCCTCTGTCACCTTCCTACCCTTCATGATGCAGCTGCAACCCCAGTATCTGACCACCTTCTTCATAGGTGAAGGGCTCAGTGGGCTGATCCCCGCTCTCATCGCCCTGGGCCAGGGCTCCGGCATCTCCAGCTGCGCCAACATCACCCATGTGGTCAACATCACCACTGGCAACGAGACCGTGGAGAACACCATCTTCCACTTGGAGACTCGCTACCTTCCAGCCAACTTCTCCACCTTCTTCTTCTTCCTCCTCATGACTGTAATGATGCTAGCCTGCTTGCTGTCCTTCGTCTTCCTCACCAGGCAGCCCAAGGTGTGGGAGCTCTCGCAGCAGCAGTTGTTTCCCAGCAGCATCATGCTGAGCTCCTTTGACCAGATCCCTGAGGAGGGAGCTGGCTTACGGCTGAGCAGAGGCTGCTCATGCCCAAAGGATGCCAAGGGGCCTGGGGACACCCCACCAGAGAAGATCTACTCTCTGGCCAAGCTCACTTTCATCTACCTCCTCATCACTTGGGTGAGCGCTCTGATGAACGGCGTCCTGCCATCTGTGCAGTCCTACTCCTGCCTGCCCTATGGCAACACCGCCTACCACCTCACAGCCACGCTCAGTTCCATGGCCAACCCCCTCGCCTGCGTCGTGGCCATGGTCTTGCCCAACAGGTAGGTAGCGGGGAGCCAGGGGCCGCGGTGAGGTGCACCCTGGGGGTTTCCACCCCAGGAGTGGCCCCTGCTTTGCAATGGGGAGGGGAAGAAGGCAACAGTGGGGAGGGGGTCCCCAGGGTGCCTGTGCCCAGGCAGCAGAGACACCCCAAGAAAGGAGGATGGGGTCAGGATGGAGCCGATCAGCCCATGCCGTGGGGCTGTGCTGCTCACAGGGCTGGGCTGGCAGCACTTCCTGGTGTCACCCGCGTGTCCCTTGCAGGTCCCTGGCCCTGCTGGGCACCCTCACCATGGTGGGGACAGGCTTTGGCGCCTACAACATGGCCATTGCAGTGATGAGCCCCTGCCCGCTCCTCCAGCAGTCCCAGTGGGGCGATGCCATCATTGTAAGTCATGGACTCCCTCTCACCTGGGGAGGTCTCTGCGGTCACCCCCAGCTCCAGCCTCACTGCGATGTCCCCCGTCGCCATGGTGGGGGACATCTCTGGCCCCGCTGACCACTCTCCCCCCCTGCACCACCAGGTCCTCTCCTGGGTGCTGTTCACCGGGACATTCTCCTACGTGAAGGTGATGGCCGGGGTGATCCTGCGGAGCCACAGCCACAGCGCGCTGGTGTGGTATGGGGCGGTGGAGCAGCTGGGCTCCTTCCTCGGGGCCCTGCTCATGTTCCCCCTCGTCAACATCTACGGCTTCTTCAAATCCGCTGACTACTGCAGCCTGCAGTGCCCGGCATGAGCGGGATGGTGACCTCTCGACAACCCCTCTTGCCAGAATTCACTCCCAAAAACAGTGAGGGCCAGGGGCTGGAAAGCGGTGCTGGGATGGGGGCAGCTGCGGGCACGTCTCTCCATGGGTCCTCAGGTGGGAGGAGCTCTGTGGCTTTGTCCCCAGCCCGGGCACAGAGCATCCCCATCCTGTTAAAAGCAATAGAAGGTGTTTGCTCAGCCCTTGGACTCCCTGCTGCCCGCGCCCCCCTAGGCTGGCGGGCAGGGAGGGGCTGCCTGTGCCAGTGCCCCCCACCTGGCTACCACTTGGCTGGGGCCACATCCCGTCCCTTCCCCTGGGGGGGTCTGGCGCCGTTTGGCATCATGCCCCATAGGCCCCCTGGGACCCCGCAGGTGGGCACAGCCCCAGCTGCG